ATTAAATAAAGACCTGATTAAATAAAGACCTGATTAAATAAAGACTGATTAAATAAAGACATGATTAAATAAAGACATGATTAAATAAAGACATGATAAAGACCTATTAAATAAAGACTGATTAAATAAAGACCTGATTAAATAAAGACATGATTAAATAAAGACCTGATAAATAAAGACTGATTAATAAAGACATGATTAAATAAAGACATGATTAAATAAAGATGATTAAATAAGACATGATAAATAAAGACTGATTAATAAAGACATGAATAAATAAAGACATGATTAAATAAAGACTGATTAAATAAAGACATGATTAAATAAGACTGATTAAATAAAGACATGATTAAATAAAGACTGATTAAATAAAGACATGATTAAATAAAGACCTGATGAATAAAGACATGATTAAATAAAGACATGATTAAATAAAGACCTGATTAAATAAAGACATGAATAAAGACATGATTAAATAAAGACATGAATAAAAGACATGATTAAATAAAGACATGATTAAATAAAGACATGAATAAAACCTGATTAAATAAAGACTGATTAAATAAAGACTGATTAAATAAAGAATGATTAAATAAAGACATGAATTAAATAAAGAACTGATGAAATAAAGACATGAATTAAATAAGACATGATTAAATAAAGACATGATTAAATAAAGACTGATTAAATAAAGACTGATAAATAAAGACATGATTAAATAAAGACATGAATAAAGACCTGATTAAATAAAGACATGATTAAATAAAGACATGATTAAATAAAGACTGTAAAGATTAAATAAAGACATGAATAAGAACCTGATTAAATAAAGACATGAATAAAGACCTGATTAAATAAAGACTGATTAAATAAAGACACTGATTAAATAAAGACCTGATTAAATAAAGACTGATTAAATAAAGACGTGAAATAAAGACCTGATTAAATAAAGACTGATTAAATAAAGACCTGATTAAATAAAGACTGATTAAATAAAGACTGATTAAATAAAGACATGATTAAATAAAGACTGATTAAATAAAGACTGATTAAATAAAGACTGATTAAATAAAGACTGATTAAATAAAGACTGATTAAATAAAGACATGATTAAATAAAGACCTGATTAAATAAAGAGATGATTAAATAAAGACATGATTAAATAAAGACTGATTAAATAAAGAGATGATTAATAAAGACCATGATTAAATAAAGACCTGATTAAATAAAGACATGATTAAATAAAGACTGATTAAATAAAGACATGATTAAATAAAGACATGAATAAAGACATGATTAAATAAAGACATGATTAAATAAACATGAAAAGACATGATTAAATAAAGACTGATTAAATAAGACATGAATAAAGACCTGATTAAATAAAGACATGATTAAATAAAGACATGATTAAATAAAGACTGATTAAATAAAGACATGAATAAAGAACATGATTAAATAAGACATGAATAAAGACATGATTAAATAAAGACATGAATAAAGACATGATAAATAAAGACATGAATAATAAAGACCTGATTAAATAAAACATGAATAAAGACTGATTAAATAAAGACATGAATAAAGACATGATTAAATAAAGACATGATTAAATAAAGACATGATTAAATAAAGACTGATTAAATAAAGACATGATTAAATAAAGACATGATTAAATAAAGACATGATTAAAAAAAGACCTGATTAAATAAAGACATGAATAAAGACCTGATTAAAAAAACATGAATAAAGACTGATTAAATAAAGACTGATTAAATAAAGACATGAATAAAGACCTGATTAAATAAAGACTGATTAAATAAAGACTGATGAAATAAAGACCTGATTATAAAGACATGAATAAAGACATGATTAAATAAAGACATGAATAAAGACATGATTAAATAAAGACATGAATAAAGACATGATTAAATAAAGACATGAATAAAGACATGATTAAATAAAGACATGAATAAAGACATGATTAAATAAAGACATGAATAAAGACATGATTAAATAAAGACATGAATAAAGACATGATTAAATAAAGACATGAAATAAAGACATGATTAAATAAAGACATGATTAAATAAAGACATGATTAAATAAAGACATGATTAAATAAAGACCTGATAAATAAAGACCATGAATAAAGACATGATTAAATAAGACATGATTAAATAAAGACATGATTAAATAAAGACCTGATTAAATAAAGACCTGATTAAATAAAGACCTGATTAAATAAAGACATGATAAATAAGACATGATTAAATAAAGACATGATTAAATAAAGACATGATTAAATAAAGACTGATTAAATAAAGACTGAATAAAGACATGATAAATAAAGACATGATTAAATAAAGCATGAATAAAGACCTGATTAAATAAAGACATGATTAAATAAAGACCTGATTAAATAAAGACCTGATTAAATAAAGACATGATTAAATAAAGACATGAAAATAAAGACATGATTAAATAAAGACCTGATTAAATAAAGACCCTGAATAAATAAAG